ACCACGAAGGGACTTTGTACTTGGAAGCTTTAAATATAAAATAAATACCTAGGTAACCTCTTATACGTAAGAGAAGACACAGTACTTTGTCATGGCACAAGTCTTGAAATATCAAGAATCTATTGAGCTATGTGTAGCCCAGACTCAGAGAGAGATCTTCATCATTAGAGATGATTTTAATGTGAACAAGGCACTGTGAGTTCAGGTGCCAGGTACAACGTAATTAGCATACAATGCTGAAATTGTGGATCTTAACTAATATCATAATAGAACAAATATACATATTTGGTAAACTCCCTGATATGCCTAATACACCAGCATAGCATGGTCCATTAGTTCCAGGACAGTGGATTGCAGACAAGGGGATATGTTCTCTTTGTAGCTGCTTAGTATGCATGCGCAGGAAAAAGATTCATGCAAAATGTTGTCAAAAGAAAAGTGATAAGACAGAGCGATGAAATTTGAAGTCTAATTCCAAGAATGCAAAGAAAAAATGCATTATGGCTTAATGAAAACATTTATGCAACAGACAGACAGGATTTTTAATTATTGCATTACTGCGTTCTGGATTCTAATGTCCACTATATATGAAAAGTTTTATAAAACAGTGATATTTTCCATATTGTCAGTTATGCTAGCTGTTGATTAAAAATCAGGAATTATAACAGCATAACTATTTTTTCAGTCTGGAGTTTCCAGCCAAGGTTGCGGAGATACAGAGACATGTAAACATTCCAAGGAATTGAGAAGTCGCTTTATATTCCAAATTATGAACAACATTATTACATACAGCCATAAAGAGAAAGACATGGCTTTTAAATACATTGCAGTACAATGCAGTAGCAATAGCTCATATTTTTTCCTAAACAGAGTTGAAATTATACCACCCTCCTGAAAAAAGGGCAACAGGTGGTTATACATCCTTTGCTTCTCTAAATGCTCTGCAAAAATAAATATTTATAAAATGATTAAAAATAATATATATGTAAAATAAATCAGGGCAAAATAAAATTGTAACTACACAGGATCTCTGATAACTTTTAAACTAAAATTATTAAAGGCTTATTTAAATAAAATGTTAAATACATTTACAGCTTTAAATGTGACCAAAAGATACAAAATGATGTGTTAAGCAGCCAGCCCAATTCACTAGAATAGCATAAGTATTCTACTATTTAAAGTGCACAATTCCTGCACATCATGACTGCTTACTCAGGTACAGTCTTTAGTCTATTGCAATGGCAGGATTAAAGTCCACCAATTTTAGAAGGGAAAGCTTACTTAAATCAGTGGTACTATCCTACCGTACCTGTACTAGCAGTAAAGAAATTAGAACAATTATATTGTACTACTGACTGTAATCAGATCAGACACATGTAATCTCAGTGAATTTCATAAACTAGGTTCATTTATAAAATACGATTAAATAAATAAATGTGTAGAGACTAAGCATTAAGAGCATTTACATGCATTCAGCAGCCTGCTCTCTCAAAGCCAGAAACAGATTTATAAAAAAATAAAAAGTAGGTTTTAAAAAGTCCACAGTCAACCACACATGATGAGTGAAATGATTGCTTCTTTAAAAGCTATATGCTGCTGCAATTATGTATATAAATACTGATCAGGGCACAGCGTAGAAATCAAAAATACAGTTTAAAATCTCATATATGGGTATTCAGTTCCACCACATATTCTACAATTCCGAAAGAGGCTAATTTTAATAATATGTTGTAATAGCATTGTGAATATATATAATGCAAAATTAATTTGATATTGCAAGGCTGCAATATTCTAAACAGACATTAAAATTTAAGAAAAAAATAAAAATAATAATGCATAAAGAATAATGCATAAAAAAATGCAGTGTCTATCAAAGTGATGATACTCTGATATATTAAAATCACATTGCATATCACATATCTGCTATATGAAAAGTATAATTAAGGTGACATTACTGTCCAATGCCCCCTCACATCTATTTTATAGAATCTATACTTTTCAGTGGTCACCTCCAAAGAAGCCTCTGAAACTGGGGGGCTCAGAGGGGTGCTCATTCCAAAAGGAATCAGATTCCAGACTTAATTTTTTTTAAATAAATAAATGATAGAAAAGGAATCACGGAACACCCAAAACATGCATTTTTGTCTATAATCTTAATTTGCAGACATTTTATGCCTTAGAGACATATAAAGGATATTTAATTAACCCCTTAAGGACACATGACATGTGTGACATGTCATGATTCCCTTTTATTCCAGAAGTTTGGTCCTTAAGCGGTTAAATATGCAGGTATCTTTAAAATTTAAGCAATGTTAAAATAAATAAATAATAAAAATATATATTTATTTTACACCACAATATAAACAGCTTTATTAAACAGATTTAAGTACAAGTACTTATGTCAATAAATATACAGAATACGTTTACAACAGACAGGTTTAGCATAATGCAAAGTTGTTGTTTTGGGGGATTTATTATTGCCCAAGAAATCTCCGAACATATTCAGAATTTTTAAGAGCAGCAAGTAAGACAGCAGATTGCAATGGACACCATTACAATATTGCTTTGCCGATTGAGGTCAGAGATTTAAAGAATAAATGTTCTATAGCTCGCTAGACCACTGGCTTTTAATGAACAGTTTGCATGACACTTATAAAATAGTTTGTTATACTGCACATTATAGCTGTGACAACATGAAATACAGTGTAAAAATGCTATTTCACTGTTTAATAGACTTACCCAGTATTTAAGGACGACATGTTTCTTGCAAAGTCATCGGGACTTTGAGGGAGGTTCTAACTACGTTTAATTAATTAATTAACTTACTAAAGAAAAAGAAAAAAAGAAGGTTTTGTTTTTCCCCTGCAAGTGAGTTTTCCGCGCAAGGTCATCTTGTGTTCACAGACTATTCGGATTTTTAAAAAGCTGTTCTTTATCTCACATTATGAACGGCCTTGTAATTCCTATCCACACTAAAAGTTGGCTTTTAAATGTTATTGTTTTAACTTTAATATTTCATAGTTAATACAGAGGATAAAGTAATATAAAGAAAGTATATTAATTGATAGGATTTCATTTATCTATTTTGGTCCACTGTTCACTGTTCTCGAATCTCAGTCTGGTGTTCAAACAGTTTTTCTTACGATACGTCGTGAGTTTATATCCACAACTGCATTTTGCTTTGTGGAAACAAATTGAAAGCCTGGCATTGTAATATGTGTATGGACATGCTTATAACAAAGCATGGTCCCTCTCCTCATGTAGTTGGTCATTAACAGGCACTTTGATGCAATGTGTCTACCAACGCTTTTCTGTGGTCACTGGATCACATCGCATACCCTATCTCTCAGTCATGATGCAGAGTTTATGCTTGCATGGATATCCAGACCTTATCCACCTGATATCCACATAAATACTCCTATCGTTTACAGGGGTTAATTACATAATAACCATTGAAGGTAATATGTTGGTTGTTCTTCCTATAGAGGAAAGATGGACTTGCCCTAAAAGCTTTTTCATGGCTAGGACAAGCTCTTATAGAGAGAGATAATGTACTTCTGACTCCTGAAAAGGAATATTGGTGGTCACAATATGGGAAATACTGTAATTCATGTGTTTAGTAATCATAAGCATTTGCTTATTGCCACATTACTGATGTACTGTTTATTGAAAAATTAATATCTAACATACTTTTTGAATTACTATATATTGGAAGTGTGCCAACATCTCATGGTTATAAATATGTTTTTGTATGTGTTGATGCATGTACCAGGTTTACTTGGATATATCCTGTGCGAAGTGCAACCTCTGATACCACATTTTCTAGTCTCACTTCCTTAGTATGCATTTGATAATCCCAGGACCATCCATTTGGATGGTGGTCCTGCACTTACTGCAAAGGAATCCTAAAACTGGGCAACCACATTTGGGTTACTTTGGGATTTCAGTGCCCCAACCACCCCCAAAGAAGTGGGGTTGTGGTCTGGGAGAATGCTGAGGTTAAATGATTATTAACCAAGTTACTAGTTGCTTGCCCCACACAGTGGTATCTATTTATTCCTATGATACAGATAGGCATTCACAACATACCTGATGATACAAATGGTGAGACACCATATGAAATGTTACATGTTTTTTCACTAACAATTCTATTTCTGCACCAGGGAGAGCTTAGAACCATTGGTTCTATTAGAGAAATTTAGGGAATTTTTTTTTCCAGCCCACCTCGCCTTGCACCACCACCTATTTCCTTCTGTTGGCCAGCTTGTCTTGTAGAGGGTGACTCAGATAACTTTTACTACAGAGAACAATCAGAGCCAACAGAGAACAGTAAGTTTTGATATTTTACAACCTGCTAAATATTAACAGGACATTCACAGAACCACTGACTGACACAATGGATGCTGTTAAAGATGGCAAGATAAAACAAACAGAGGACGACAGAAAAGCCACCAGAATCATAGCCACGTAACAGACTGAATCATGATCTGACATCTGAACCTGCAAATGTGAAGGAGAAGGATGAACAGACAGATGTGATACATTCACAGTTAATATGGAATGTACGAAAAATGAATCATCAACATCATTATAAGAAAGATTCTGGAGAAAACAGACTCAACCTGAATTATCTTATACAGCAAGAAAGAAATTCAAAGATGGAAGCAAAAGGATGCTAGAAAATTGGAGTCTCCTTCTTACAGTCTGCAGCATTATCATAACATCAACCCTAGCTGTTTTAAAACTGCATTGGAATTATGTTAACAAGCAGGAAGCACCTGAACTGAATTGGACTGCACACTATACAAGTTCTATGATCGTGAGGACTACCTCCAAGAACCATCCCAAAAGGAGAGACACAGCTCACAGTGAAATGATTGCTAATGTGACCTACACTGGTATTTCACAAGGAACCTATTGAGATCATTCCAAAAAACAATTATACCTGAGAAAGATGTGATTGGACAAATAACAAATCCTAATAATGGAATCAACGATGATGGCAAAGCATGCTGAAAACAGAAAAAGACGGGAAAGATGCTTATGAAAGACTTTGGATGCACCTATGAAGGTGATGCAAGAAAAGACTTTACCATATAGTTTATCATTGAATGACTACCGCAAACAGCCTTCTTATGCTGAAAAGAAGTGCTATGCTAATTCTGGACATTGCTATTATCCAGACAGAAGATGACCGGAAAAAGAAATAAAGGCTGATAACTGTCAACACCCAGCTGTTTTTCAAGATGGAACATGGTACTGACAAAACCAGATTGACTATCAAAGCACCTCACAGTACAAGACACAGATTGTTAACTACAACTCAGAAAAAGTGGTTAATAGGAAGGATCAGAAGAAGAGGAATGTAGATTTCCTACTGGAGAGAAAAACCATCCTGGAACAATATTCTGCAACAATGAACTTTACAATGACATTTGCTGGCATATGAATTTGAATTTGGTAGAAACACATCAATTAACGAAAGAAACCTTGATGCAATTAATAAATAATAACAATACCGGCTTACTAAGAGCAGATGCCCTGCCAAGAGAATGGAATATAAAAAGACCAGCAAAATCTTTCAGAAACCTGACATCACGGGACACTTGTACTAAAGCACGATTTGCAGCTTTTCTTAAACTCTACATATTATGTACATACCTGCAAAGCAAGGACCTCCTGTAAACATAAACACAGAAACATTGATACAACAAGGAATCTGTAATGGTTCTGTTGCAGATGTGATCTACCGTCGTACTCCTTGCTCTTTTGGTATACCTATACCAATCAAAACGTTAAATGGCTCCATAGAATCAAACGACAAAGCATTCTTGCTATATTCTGGACTTCCAGGAATGTGGTGCATGGACCGAAAATTATAATTACTCAAGCAATCATGCTATTTTTTTCCCTGTATCAGAAATGTGTCAGTGACAATGTGTAATATAATACAGATATTATAATTAATGGTATAAGAAACACATAATGTGTTAATTACAAAGGTGGATAGACTTTGTGAATATCTGAAACGCAATTGAAGATTATTGCTAAAATGCCATATGCAGCTGCAGTCCGGCCTACAAACAAATATATTAAACATACGTATAAGAGCATAACAGCTAATTACCCAGATGAATAATTGAATCATGATAGTTAAAGATCATATGATTGCAATAACAACTGCAATAATGAATAAAGTTTAAACTTTAGAAGAAAATATAAAATGTTTTTATTAAAACAGAAACTACTCGATATTCGTTTAAGTTTGCAGAGTGGTATAATTAATATAAGTGAAATACTTCAACAGTTAAAATTTAACTGAAAGACAGGCAGAAACTTTACTTCAACTATCATAAACTTTATCTATAATGATAAAAATATTCAGTCTGCCAGAGCCAAGGCCAGTCAATGGAAAGTAAAAGAGTATTAGGGATTAACCCATCCAGGTGATATACATGATGATTTTGGAAATTGATCATTTAGGTCACCTATTGCAAACTGGTGAAAAGATGTCAAAGATATAAATTCAACATCCATACCACTCTATGCATATATATATATTAAAATACACATAATCAAATATTTTATCAGTTTTTCAAATACAAAGAAAATGTTATTTGGTTTGTAATGGTTAAAGGTACATAAAACCACCTATACAAAGGTAGAGTTAAAATATAAATACATTCAATATTGTATTGGAGTGCTTTCTTAACTCACTTTTAGAAATAATAAATATTGAAATCATCTTAAGTTACACCAAACAGCCACTGGTAAATATACTTAAACAATTAAGATTCACATTGTTAAGCATCCAATCTCACGAATGTAACTTTCCACAATGGCTGTCAGATCTTGGTTTAAAAAAAAAAAAAATGTTTTCTAAGACAATATTTGGGGGTTTCTGGTATTTTAAGCCACTAATAACTGTAGTTATTATATTTACTAATAATAACTAGGGAATAAGTTGTCTTCTCCCTAACAGGTCAAAGAAAGATAATTAACGTCATATTCCCAATTAGCAACTATTCTAAATATATTGAGAGATTTTAAATAAAGGAGTATTGTTTACATTTAAAGAGAATGTAATTTTACATACCATTGTGAACAAGGGCGGTAAATACTTTGCTGCTTCAAATTATTCTTTATATCTAAATCATATACAAGAGTGTTTATCTTTAAAACAAAACACTAGAAAGATTAACTATGTTACTATTTCATCTATCATTATTATACAAACTATAACAAATGTAAAGATTTTTCCACAGATTTTACCTGTTAACATTTTTAGCACAACAGCACCTGATGTCAGTGAGATGTCTATCACTGAGATGTTACAAAGATTCCAATACAGCAAAAAGAGGTGTTCCTGAGAATCCACTTCGATTGCTGTATCAACATAACATTTACTATAACGGGATCCATGTCACTTAAGACAATGTCTTGGAAATGCTGTCAATTGATTCTGTAAAAGAATATCGGAGAGTATCCAATCTATACACATCATAAACGGTGTAAAAATGTTTCATGGAAAAAACAAAAAGCAAACAAGCAAAGACAAATACCAACGCCATAACCACGGTGATAACAGATGATGCTGATTCAATATCTGCAACCAATTCTATCCAAATACTTGGAAAGCTGGACTCTACAACCTATACTCTTCAACAAATACCCGGGTATTCTACAAACACAACCTCCAGTAATGTATCTAAGGAATGTAAACCTCTACAGGCCTTTAAAGACTTTGGATTACAAATACAATTACGATTTTTAACTTTGGATTACAATTCGTATCCGGATCTATCCAAGAATATCTTACTCTGGAACTTGGTGTTCTTTTCAATTCTTTCCCAGACAAAAGCTTTGCTCATTTTAATCAACCACCTTTACAGGCAAAGATCACACTACAGATATTTTACTGTTACAACAATGATCTAAGATGCTGGGAGCATAAAAAACCTAAAGACAGTTGGAGAACTTTGGTTTACTAATTTCAGGAAGAAATGCGCTACAATGCCCACAGTTTAATGGAGAGGGTGTTACGGGCAAATGCAAATATTACAAGTTTTAGAATGAAATGTTGTATTTCTTAAACTGTGTACTTTGTCTTTAAGAGATATTGCAAACTGCCAAGGTGTTAGAAATGGAACATATTGTTTTTCATAACTGTTTCTTTAAGCAATAACCTCAGTGCATAATATGTTTGCGCCATTTTGTCCCAGATGAATTACAATAACAATAATGCATAAACAAGCTTCAAGGCTATGCTACAACTCTTGCAGTACACAATATACTGTGGTAACCCCAAGTTAATGGAACTTCCCCAAATCCGGGAATCTCCCACGACTGTACACTTACGACTTAGTATAAACAACAGATAACCTATTCAGACTTTAAGATGCCATCTTGAACTAAGTCAGGAAAATTTCCATGACGTATACACCCTTTAGTTATGGCCTTGTATGTTTGCCAAATTAAGGGAGGTCCTAAATTGAATAAAGTAAAAGAAGTGTTACTTTTTCATATTTGAACTACAGTAACCTAAAATGGAGACACCTAAGGTATAAATAGGTGTACTTTTAAATGTTAAGATACAGAGGAGAGACTTGGAGACAGACGCTGCTCCATCTTAAAATGACAGAGAGGCTGACATGATGACATGTTCAGAAGGGTATGTTAACCTATTAATGATATTTGCAAGCATGTAATTTAATCTTATAAACTCTGCTATAATGGATTTTATATGTTTATATAATAAATATCCAAAAAGACAAAACGATTGCTTCCAAGACAATCCTTATTTTATATATTGTATTCTCAATTATTTATATATGTTAAATAGAGGATCTCTTACACTATATAAAATTATGGCTAAGATATCTGTATGGTTAGCCGTACTAAGTTCTATGCTTTAAGACATTATAGTGGTAAATAAGGGAACCACCAGCGGTTACAGTACTAGCCCATTTCTGGAAAGTAGGTCATGGGATTAGCCAATTAGGATTTCAGATGATTGATTCTGTCTCTGCTCTGCAGAGCGGGTGGGATATAATTATATGATTTTGCTATTGCATGACGAAAAGTCATGATTTTAATAAAGACACGGAGGCGAGTATTTGCATATCCCTTTCTTTACTGTCCACTCCATAGCAGCAAAGAACATTAACAGAATTGAAAGAAAAGGTAGTACATGTCTCACACACAGGCCACGCCCCTTTATGTCCAGTATATTACCCTGGTCCGCCTTCCCATTTCCCTCTTTCTGAAGGTGCTACACGAAAAAAAACGTAAGAACATAACATGTCGGTAACTGTCAACAAAACTTCGGCTTTCTGTAACCCGCATAACTGTGAGTCCCATGGAAGCAAGTTCATAAATAGGTGATGATGAGCCGTTTTCACTGGATGAGAAGGGTCGTTTCATCCGGGCGTGGCAGCGTGTCTCAGGCTGACTCGTGCAGGTCCAGGTCAGGCTGTGAAAACATAAGCGACAGAAACCCAAAGGTTAAATCAGCTCTGTGTACCTATATCAAGGCCTGAAGAGGCCGAATATACATAATCTCACCTGGGCGTCATGCTAGTGCAATTGCATACGACAAAGAACTACATACCTAAGTGCAAGAAAATGTCCCACTTACCACTTGTCCGTAGTCGTCCGTCTGCAGACGATGTGGGTGGGAAAATTTGCGGAATAGGATCCTCACATACTTACGCAAGTTGGGTGGGACAATACTCGCCTCCGTGTCTTTATTAAAATCATGACTTTTCGTCATGCAATAGCAAAATCATGTAATTTTATTACAAGACATGGAGGCTCGTATTTGCAAGTTTAAAGCTGGTCCACCACTGCCGTAAACAGGTGAGTAGTCGGACGAAAGTAATATTCTCAGAATGTCGACTCTCTAGACCAATCAGCCATCCTCATAAGATCCTCCAGGCGTGCCCCAGATGTGATAACTGCGGATGCCGAGGCGCTCCTTACTGAATGAGCCCCGAAGATGGAGGTATCGATACCTGCTGAGCTGAGTAGCCACTTCAACCAACGGGATAGGGTAGTGCTTACTACCGGTGTAAAAGGTGGACGGAGTGAGAGGAAGAGCTGGGAAGTAGTCACCACCCGGTTAGTACGAGTGCGATCCTCGTATTCTCTTAAACACGCCACTGGGCACAGTGCTGGTGTAGATGGGAAAGCCGGGTATGAAACCGATCTAATGGATGTTTTGGTTCGTCTATTGATGGTGAACGTTACCCTGTCAGGGGTGTATGATCTAGCGTCGAGGTCCAAGGCCCGGACGTCCGATACTCTCTTGCAAGATATAAGGCAAAGGAGACAAAGTAATTTGGCCGATAATTGGCGTAGGGAGAGATCCGGATTCGGAGGCCAGCCGAGGAGGAAGGACAAAACAGTGGAAACATCCCAAGTGGAGGAGTAGCGGGGCCTGGGTGGTCGGGAAAGTCTGGAGCCCCTTAGGAGTCTGCACACTAGTGGGTGTTGACCGGCTGGGTTTCCGTCCAAGCCTTGGTGTCGAGGAAATAGCCGATCTGTATAAATTGATAGTTCGGTATGCCTTCCCTTCCTCGAAGAGGGATGTGAGGAAATCCAGAATGAGTGTCACAGGGGCTGAAACGGGATCCACGTTCCTAGCCATGCACCAGCTAGCCCAATTTCTCCAGGCTGACCCATATGCTCGTCGAGTGTCCGGAGCCCATGCATCCGCCAAGAGTCGTCGAGTAGAGTCCGAAACACTTCGGATTTCCCAGGGTCCCCTGAAATGCGCCAGGCCAGTAGGCTGAGAGAGGCGTTCACCAGGAGGGGGTGACAATCCCCAGACGGGTTCCTGAGAAGGTCCTGGAAGGTTGGCAGCAATCTGGGGAGATCCACCGCCATCTCCAATAGCTGTGGGAACCATGATTGCGTCCCCCAGAAAGGGGTGACGAGGACTAGTTCGGCCCGCTGGCGGCGGGTCTGGATGAGGGTGCGGGGGATCATCGAGAATGGGGGAAACGCATATAGTGGGGTTTCTTGCCAGTTCTGCAGGAAGGCGTCCACGGTTTCTGCCGCTGGGTCTGGTCTCCAGCTGAAGAAATGCGGGAGCTGGGCGTTGAGTCGAGATGCGAAAAGATCTATAGCAAAAGGACCCCACAGAGATGATATAGTGGAGAACACCTCCACGTCCAATTTCCAGTCACTGGCGTCCGAGAGATAGCGAGAACTCCAGTCCGCCTGGACATTGCGTAACCCTGGCAAATATTCTGCTTGAACCATCAGGTTCCGTTCCAGACAGAACTCCCAGAAGTCCTTCGCTAATCCGGCTAGGAGCGCCGAATGGGTACCGCCCATGTGATTGATGTACCGCACTGCCGAGACATTGTCCATGCGGAGGCGGATACATCCATGTGCCTGATCTTTCGCGAAGCTGCGGACCGCGAAGGAGCCCGCCAGGAGTTCCAAGGCATTGATGTGTAACCGGGCTTCGGTTTCCGACCAGCGGCCTCCCGTAGACACGCCTGCGCAGTGAGCGCCCCATCCCTGTAGGCTCGCATCTGATTCTATGGTGAATTCCGGGAGGGAGCCAAAGATCGCCTTGCCATTCCAAGCGGACAGGTTGAGAATCCACCAGCGGATTTCGTCTTTTGTCTCTCTGTCCAGAGTCACCAGGTCCGCGTAGGACGCGCCGTCCCGTAGGTGCGCAATCTTGAGTCGTTGTAGGGCTCTGTAATGTAGAGGGGCGGGGAATACCGCCTGAATGGAGGATGTTAAGAGGCTGATCAAGCGAGCTAATTGTCGCAACGTGAGTTGCGGTCGGAGGAGTGCCCTGCGCAGCTCCTTGCGGATCACATGAACCTTGCAGGTGGGTAGGATCAAGGATTCTTGAAGTGAGTCCACCATAAATCCTAAGAATTCTATCCGTGTCGTAGGGGTCAGACAGGATTTCTCCCAGTTGATGATGAACCCTAGACGGGAAAGGAGATCTATTGCCAGTTTGATGTGTCGTAAGAGGACCTGGTGAGCTTGAGCCATGAGTAGGATGTCGTCTAGATATACGATAAGTCTTATCCCTCGACTGCGTAGCCAGGCCATCGCCGAGCGGAGGAGCTTGGTGAAGCACCAAGGGGCCGATTAGAGACCAAAGGGGAGGCAGGTAAAACGCCAGGTCTTGTTGCGCCAAAGGAAGCGTAAGAGGTCCCGAGATGTTTCTGCCACCGGGACTGTAAGGTAGGCATCCTTGAGGTCTAGTTTCGACAACAAATCTCCGTGCTGGAGTAGGTCTCTCAGGAGGTGTATACCCTCCATCTTGAAATGACGATACTGGGTCATTTTTGGGTCCACTTCTGGGGTGTCACAAGTTGTTGAGGGGGCGCAGGTTTATAACCGGGTGCATAAGGCCCCCTTTTTTCTCCATGAGAAATACATTGCTCAGGACCCCAGCATTGCCTATGGGTGCCTGTTCTATCGCCCTCTTGTCTAGGAGGTCGAGTAGTTCCTAGTTGATCAACATGCGATCGTGCCGAGAGAGGTAAAGTGGTCTGGGGAGGGGATACTTACCGGATCCCCCACTAGCTCTATGTGAAACCCCCGTATTGTGTTGAGCACCCAGGTGTCGGATGTCAGGTCCGACCATGTTGGGAAAAAATGTTGGAGTCTGCCCCCTACACAAACATGAGAAAAAAAATAGGTGTGTGTACAGAGTGTGAGAATTGTAAAGACTCACCGTAAGGTCGTCTTGAGCCGGTGTATCCACGGAAACCTCTTGAGCGCCATTGCCGCGGGACGGGAAGAATGGAGACCGACCCCTTGTGTCGTGATAGGTGGGGCGTTGAGTAATGGAGCCTCGTCCCGTACTTCGGGACTGGAAATAATTCCGGCCGGCCAGACGGCTCCTAGATCTGCCGGCCCTGGTAGAGACCCGTCCCTGGAAAACCTTTCTCATAGAGGTTTGTGCTTTATCAAGGGCAGTGAACGTGCC